GAATATAAGATGTGATACCAAGATGGCTGTAGTATTTACGAGAAAGTTGCTAATTTCCTATATTGTTTCTGCAGTATTTTCGTTGATGCGTGTTATTGCTAGGGAGTTGCAGGTGTTTGCTATTGAACAAGGAATAAAGTCAGTCTTTTGGGCAGAGAAAAGTAATTTTACATATTAATGGGACCTCTGAAATAGAGAATACTTTGTAACATTTCGTAAGAGTTTTAAAAACTATAGAGGACGTAAAAAATTCATACAAGAAGAGATGATGATTACTGTGTTCATCTTAACATTAAAATACATTAAAATGCGACTTAACATGACCAAGATCATTATGATAATGGATTCAAAATAATAAATACAATTATAATGGCAGTTTGCACACACTCTTCAAAGAAAGTTGATAAACCCTTAAGATGTGAATTTCGATCGGAAGTATCAGTGATGCCACTGACGGCTCAAGTCTAATAAGTACCTCTCGCTGTACTTACTTGGAGTATTTGTCAGGGAAAAGCGGCAAGTGGGTAGTGAGGGTGAGACCTCGCTGGGGCGTCCAGAAGGCAAGACGCACAGCTCGGTCCTCTGGAGAACTGTATGGTAAGTGTATGTACACATTGCACCTGTGAATAATACTTTCACTATAAAACTGTATTGGTAATACTTTCAGGATAACAAGTACAGTATGCTTCTTCTTCGAGGTAATTTTTTTGTATTAACACTGCTTCCTAAATCAGCCCCAGCATTTTTTTATGTGCAAAATTTGGGCACTACTTATCATTCTTTGATAAGTAGTGCCCAAACTCCCATTTATTAGTGTATAGTAAATAACTTTAATATTACTTCTTCAATGATTAAGTCATAATCACATAAACAAGATTTACACATAACATTACATAGAAGTGTAAAATTAGCAAATTTGAAATACAATGCACTATATACTTCAATGTCTCAGTTGCGTCTTCCACAATGACGACCATAGCGTTCATCCTGGAAAAGGTCCTGTGGATGTAGCGTAGGTCAGGGAGAGGCAGGTGAGTTACGGCGAGGAGTCTCGTCGACCACACCAGGAGGTGGCCCTTGAGGGACCACTCGGCGAAGGCGGCGAGGAAGGTTGGGTCGTCGCTCACCACCACCACCGTCACGCACCATGACACCTGCCGCAGCTGTTGACGTCAACATGGTAGAAGTTATGTGAGACTGACCTACCCGCCTCAGTAGTAATGTGAGTGACCTACTCGCCTCATTAGCAATGTGAGAGTGACCTACCCGCCTCATTAGTAATGTAAGAGTGACCTACCTGCCGAGCCTCGTCGACCACCCGGGAGAGCTGCGTCACGTTAGCGTCCTTGCCGTCCACTGCCACCTCGAACAGCCCCACACCACAAGGGTTCCGGAACTGAGCCAAGAAGTCCTGCAAAATTATTGTATCCCTTACACTGAAATACATAATTTCGTTTATTTGTATCTTTTTTGGGGTACTGCTAGTGGAATATTATGACGACGACAATGACAGCCACGCCCACTTACCGTGAAGACAGCGGTGGCGAAGGTTTTGCCATCTGTAAAGAAGAACGTTGAACACTGAGGATTGGACGCTGTGGTTAACACGGTTGTCAGCCATGCATGGGGTACTGCTCTAGTCTTTGATGTGCCTGAGGAAAGAAAATATTATTAGATGCATAGATTCAATATATACTTGTATATGCAAATAAAACACTGTAGGTGCGGTGATACATAAGAACATAAGAATGGAGGAAACTGCAGCAGGCCGATTGGCCCATACTGGGTAGTCCCATTTACACCCAACCCCTATTGCTCATATATCCATCCAACCTATGTTTGAAGCTACCCAGCGTATTCGAGTTAATGATGATGTTTGGTAACTTGTTCCAGTCGTCCGCTACTCTATTTCCAAACCAATGTTTACCTATTTCGCTCCTAAATCTAAATTTTTCTAGTTTAAAACCATTGTTACGAGTTCACTCCTGGTTGGATAGTTTGAGTACCTTTGTAATGTCCTCTTTGTTTAGCCCTGACATCCATTTATACACCTCACTCATGTCGCCCCTCATTCTACGTCTCTCGAGGGAGTGCAAATTATGATGCATTAACCTCTCTCTGTACTCAAGGTTCCAAATGCCCGGGATTAGTCTTGTCATTCTCCTCTGAATTCTTTCAAAGGATTCTATATCCATTCTGTAATACGGTGACCAGAACTGAACTGAATAATCCAAGTGAGGTCTCACAAGCGCTAGATATAATTATAAGATGACCTCGCTAGTCTTGTAACTAACACTCCTTTGTATGAAACCGAGTACTTTATTAGCCTTGTTTCGAGCAAATACACATTGTTTACTTGCCTTAAGATTCCTACTTATCATTACTCCTAAATCTCTCTCACAGTCGGATTTCTCAATAACATCGTTGTTCATCTGGTATCTGGTTTCCCTGTTTTCATCTCCGATACTGAGTACTTTACATTTGTCCACATTGAATTTCATCTGCCATTTTTCAGACCCTTCAAAATTTTTTTTTAGATTTTCCTGTAGTTTTGCGGAGTCCTCGTCAGATTTAATTACACGTCCTATTTTAGTGTCATCAGCAAATTTACTTATGTTGCTGTCTATGCCGATATCTATGTCGTTTATGTATATAATAAATAATAATGGTCCAAGTACTGAGCGTTGGGGAACTCCACTAGTGACCTTATCGCAATGAAATTGTCCCGTTAGTTCAGTCCCTTAAATTATTAAATATGAATATTGTTTTTAAGTATGACTACTATTACCAACATATTAATCAAGAATAGCCCAACATTGAATGTAAATGGAATACAGCCTTAACAACATCAACCTAGAGAAGTCGACTTGTGAAAGAGACCTAGGGGTACTTGTAAGCCCGGACCTACGGCCTAGAAAACAGTGCGTTAATGTTCGAAATAAGGCAAACAGAGTATTGGGTTTTATATCTAGAAGTGTAAGTAACAAGAGTGCAGAGGTCTTATTGCAACTATATCTTGCGCTAGTCAGGCCGCACCTCGATTATGCGGTTCAGTTCTGGTGCCCCTATTATAGAATGGATATAAATTCACTAGAGTCGGTGCAGCGAAGAATGACAAAAATGATTCCGGGACTTAGAAACCTTCCATATCAGGATAGGTTAAAGAAACTTAACTTGCATTCCCTAGAAAGACGAAAAGTGCGGGGAGATATGATAGAAGTATTTAAGTGGGTGAAAGGAATCAATAAACGGGATATAGATAAAGCTCTTATAATATCCGAGCAGGATAGGGCTCGGAGCAACGGATTCAAGTTGGATAAGTTTAGGTTTAGGAGGGAGATAGGAAGAAACTGGTTCACAAATAGGGTGGTGGACGAGTGGAACAAGCTTAGCAACTTTGTAGTAAGTGCGGGAACTCTGGAAAGTTTAAAGAGGAGGCTAGATAGATTCATGGATGATAGAGAGTGGTAGTAACTCTCGACAGGAGCTGCCATACACAGGCCAACCGGCCAACAAAAAAAATTCGCCTCCGTATGACACACCCTACTAGGGGAGGGTACCAATCCAGTAGTGTGTCTTAGTGTGGGAGGAAACGACATAGGAAATAGGGTGTGTCATACGGAGGCGAATTTTTGTTTTTGAGTTTGAAAAATCGGCCCATGGTATTAATGATGTAGTTCTATGTGCAGAATCATGTGATATCTTCAGATTTGAAAAGTTTTCATTTTTTGCTAGGTAAATTTTAACTTGAAATCTTATGAAAATTCAGTATTCCCACCCTTTTACCAACACCACTAAATAGTTTATTTAAAGTAAAGTAAATGTATCAAGTTAATTTATTAGGATGAAAATGATCCAGAATAGTGAAACGAATGATCTTGACACATTTATTAAATTTAATATTCCTTTAGAAAACAAAATCATCAAATACAAAAACCGGTTTTACTACTACGACCCGGTGTTGCTGCACACCATAGAGAACATGTCTTTCTTGCTTCTGTTTCTACTCATCACCTCCCTGCTGACCACCTGAGCACGGATGTAGCCTTCCCTACTCTCCTGGCTGTACACGTGAATGTTGGCCTCGCTCACTTGCTGTACACAACGCTCTATACTCTGGGTGTGCGAGGGCCAGGCAGGGACATGCATGGGGTTGTCCAGGAAAGCTCTGACTTGAACATTGGTGAGGCTGCAGGTAAGAGGGGGCTCACTGCCAGCCTCGATGTTATCCAGATCTATGAGATCAGTGAGGGTCTTGGCACCTAGATTGACTTCAGGAGTCTTCCTGACCCTGAAGGAACCGTCACCAACTGATTCGTCATGCCCAGATCCTCTCAAAAGTCTCATATCCAAGATCTTTTTGACTGCCACTCTTCTCTCCTCCTCATCCTTACTGCAGAGCATTGTCTGCAGAACTGCCTCGGGATGAGCATACCAGGAAGATATCCTCACAGTCTGCTCCACAATCTGAACAACCTTCCTTGGCTGACTCCTCAGGAGCTCAAACTGGAAGAGAACATGCCTCGGACCTTCGGAGAATGATGACTTGACCTTGGTGTTGAACCAATTTGGCAAGTAGACACTCACGATGAATTGGACAATAAGTCTCAGGTTGTGAAGCTGGTTCCCTTTCAGTTTATGATGAGCGACCCAAATTCTGCAGAACCTGAGGGGCCGTTGTGAGCCACCTAGAAGATGTGAGACTGGACCTATCTGCAGGTAAGCAAGTCTATCAGGCATGACCCCAGTTTTGATGGCACTGCAAATCATGTAACCATAGTACTGGTCGATACTCAGGTCGTCAATGACAGTATATTACTCAACGAGTGGAGGGGCCAACTGTGATTTTCAAAAGCTCAGTTTATTTCTAACTCAGTGGCAGAGTCCAGCATCTTGCCAAGAGGACCAGACCATCTGTTGTTTGAAAGAGTCTTGCCATCCAGCTCCTGGATCAGATGTCTGAGTGGCAACTCGTTGGTGTGGAGGTCACAAACAATCCAGACCAGCTTCCTCCCAATCTTCCGCTCTATCCAGCTTCCTCCCAATCTTCCGCTCTATCCACTGTATGACCCCCCCTTGCCACCCTGTGTTCGTGTTGGTGCTGTCCCTCCAATGGCCTGCAGGGTCTGGTCTACGTTCCTCTCTCTGAGCCAGTTCACAATGTTATCTGCCACTATCTCAGCTGGTTTCCTGATGTCATCTTTCTCTGGAGTGAAATGCCACAAATACTTCCCTTCTGGTTCACTGCAGCAGGAGTAGTGTTCCTCCTTCACCATGGCAGGGAACAACTTGTCAGAATCTCCAACTTTCATGAACACTTTAGTGTCATCCCTTCTCCCATCAAAGAACAAACAATTGATTCCATTTCTCTTATCCCCTTATCAAACTCCTCTTCTAGGTTACTGACAAGTTTCTCCTGAGCTCTCCTTACTTTGTTATGATCTATCACCAGGTGAACATCATCAGGTGTTATCAAACCACCGTCAACCCAGGCAGCTGTTGCTATCTCTGCAGTTTCTCTGAGACCAGTGTGGTGTCGCATGCTGGCCAGAGCTATGCTCGGGATATCTTTTCTATTTCGAATCTTATGCCTGGAAGGTTTGGGATCATTATTTTCTGGGTTAGGGACAAAGTCACCATTCTCCTGGTCAGCACTCGGATCAGCCATGGGGAAGTCATTAAACTCTGAATCAGCTTGACTCCAATCATCGGCCTTTTACTTCACCTAGGCCTTCTCAGGTCTCTTTCCTCATGCAACTCTTCTCCTCTTCTGTCTCTCTGTGGCAGCCTCCTGTCTCTTGGACTCCGGAATATCTTGGCTAGAAATCATAGAGAGAGCCCCTATACTGCCAGTCTTCTCTCTCTCCTGTGCTTTGACCAAATGCCAGTTCGATCACAGGAATCTTCAGTTCACGCTTGCAAATACAGGAGATGTGGGCCTTGGATTTACAGTCACGATCGCATCCAAACTCAGGACAGAGAACAATTGGGCACTTGCAAGTAATTATGTCAAATAACTGGTCCAGTTGCTTGGCAAAGCTGTCCTTAACTGCAAGTTTTTCTCTCCCAAGAGAGATATCTCTTGCCTTTTCCCAACTGGCTAGCAGTCTCTCACTAATCTTCTTCTGACTTGTTATGACTGGAGGCTTCCAGACAGGCATTTAGCCAGAGTGTACTGTGCCAAGACAGCTTTGGTCATATCACTGGCAATGTCTTTGTTTTGTGTAAGTTCTTTGGTTCTTTTACTGAGTTGCTGCATTAAAACACCGTATCTCAAAGCATCTCTCAATGTGGCAACTCCGACTTCCAGGAGCTCTCTCCCAGAACAAGATAGTGACTGAGATGGCTGGATTTTTTGGTTCTCGTCCTGACACAAGCAGCCATCGCAAATATTATCAACTTATAAATGCATCAGAATCTGAAACAGAAAAAAATATTGTTAGTTGGGTTGTTAAAGAATGAAGTCAGAAAGCAATGTTCACTATTTAATTGTAATGCACTAATGCAGCTGTACGTTAGATTTTAGATAAATTTCACGCTAAAATTTACCTAGCAAAAGGTTGCAAAATATTGAAACTGAAATTATTTTCTGTTTATATACACAGAATCTACCAAAAAAGTAATGGGCCATTAGTTTTAGCTGATCTTCCCT